TTTGCACCCTTGTTTCATTCTCAAGGAATGGTACCATACTATTGGTGTCCACTTCTATGGTGAATTTGATAGAGGGATGTTGAGGGTTCCAGGAAACATGCTACTGATAGGACTTGAACAAGTTGTCAGATGAAGCTGAGGCTTGTCAGCAAGAAACTGAGTGTTTTCCATTGAAAAAAAGTCTGTCATGAATTTCTTCAGAGAATCACAAGGTGTCACAAACTGTGTGTTGGATTAATGGTTGGGGGCTTCATTTTTTTATCTATTCATTTTGCAAGATAGCTATAAAAGGGTTGCTGCATGTCAGGAAATGGTCAGGAAAAAAGTTCTTTGAGGGCAGAGAAAAAGTGACATTTTGAAGAAGAGTCCTGCAAAACTGAAATAACTATAACCCAACTGATTAAATACCAGTAAAGGCTGGGTCTCTCTGATCTCAACTTTGTTGAAAACTGAAGTCTGACTGATCAACCTCAATGAATGGTTAGAAGGGGCAGCTGTGAGGGAAAGCTAGAGAGGGCTACTATCTGACATATTTTACCTAATAGAAATATTTATTTGGTCAGGGAAGTTAAATTTTTGTCAGGAAAAACACATGATGATAATGATGATGATGTCTGTGGCAACCATGTGTAGGTACAATATAGCCGTGGTGGGCAATACAAATGCATTGCCACGAGCTAATTTTGTAAGAACACTAATTTATAGATTAAGCCAAGCTCCTGATTATTATAACTTACCCAGTACCTGGGCAGCAGTCAACTCCCAAAAAAACATTTGACCTTGATGAGCTCTAAACCTGAGCCTGCAATATGGTCACATGGTATTGGTCAGCAGATACCTTGTTTTGACAGGTGTTAATATTTAGCCATAACATAGATATATGATGTCAAAGATGTATGCCATAAAACAAGGCTGCTTACCTTGATCGACCTATTAGCTGGAATGTGGCTTCATGTGCCTGTGATCTTTGCTGCTAGCCACTTTGACCATGTAAAACAGTTGCATGGTTTTCTATTTCTATGCATGCATGTGGTTCTGTTCCTATATTTATGGTACTCTGCTCGCTGGAGCTCTACTTTAAAATAGCTAGGGGTTTTAACAAAACTTAGATCTAAAAGTGAAATACAGTGTTGTATGAAAAAATTGACCCAAATTACATGGCGGCAAATCCTACTTTGGAAATGTATGCTGTCAAGCAGTACAGCATGGGTGTTAGGAAAAAAGAGAACCCTGGTTCCAATATGTTATTAAAATTGCTTAAACTTTAATGTATATTTCTTAATGACAATCAGTTAATGGAGAGTGGCGATTTCAGTTCTGACACTGAACAAGATAGAACCGAATGACAGTCTTGCTATTTGAGTTCTGACAATGGACAGCTAAGCAATTACTATAGAAAATTACTCTTCTAATCTTCAACTGACAAAATAACAAGAT